TTTACATTTACACTCTATTGTGGTTGTAAGTCGAGGACTACCCGTATTGAAGTAGCATGTCATTACCTTCTAGGATACTTTATTACCTAGTTTAGTCTGTTGCCCTTGATTTCCTGATGGTCTCCCATCCAGTCAACCAGGGATTAATACTGTATGGCTTTTTAAGATCACCCACAGTCAACTACATGCTGCCACTCGAGTGTAAATGTAAATGAAGATTCTCAATTATCCAGATCCCAAAGGTGTTTTTTCAAGAGACAACTGGACTTTTTTTTGTTTTTCTTTGAAGAAGTTTCATTTCTCATCCAAGAAGCTTCTTCAGCTCTGACTGGATGTTGAGAGATGGAAGGATTTATATTCCTTGCAGACAGCTGGTCATTTGCTTGCCCCACCATCCAGTCAAAGCTGAAGAAGCTTCTTGGCTGAGAAGCTAAACATCTTCAAAGAGAAACAGAGAAGTCCAGTTGCCTCTTGAAAAAAGCACCTTTGGGATACTCAGGTGTAAGTTCAGTTTCCTGGGTGGAAATTGTCATTCTGTGCAGGGGAGAGAGAATAGCCATGTATGTCAATCTGAAGTACATTTCTGAGTTAACTTCATTAAATTTCTTAGTCATTTACATCAGTGCCTTTCCCTTGAGAACATAAAATTTAGGACAAGTTAGCTTAAACAGTTGGGCTGATATTAGTGTTTGGTTTTAATTTGGTTAGTGATGGTGATGACGTCATATTGTGATATCGGTTTTTTGCAACTGTTAAATTAGTTAATGTGCTTGATGAGGTGATATACAACTATCAAATAAATCAAAATAAATACATAATAACAAAATCAACTAGCTTGGGGAGGCTGTGGGTAGAGTGGAATCTGTTAGATAGTTGTATGACAGTTAATGGAATGCCCTTTCTGTATGTTTTCCTTCTGTTTTGTTTTTATCTTGTTTTCATCTTAATTTAAACTGGTTGTTTTAATGGTTTTTATATATTCTGGATTATTACCATGCACATCTCCCAGGGTCACATTATGTAGAATGGGCGGCTATACAAATGAGAGTAAATAAAGAAGTTATTTTTGTATATGCAACAGACTAGCAATGGTTCTGGAAATGAAGAATCATCCAGCCTGATCAGAAAGACAGCTTCATCTAGCAAAGCATCCTGATTCTTACCAGCCAAAATGCTTTTTGGAACCTTATGGGCAGGAAACAAAGGCATGGTTGCTTCATTCAGACGGTACAGTTTTACCAATATGTTTATGGATCTAGACTTTAAAAGTATGTGAAAATTGTTGGAGGCAATATGCTGACTCTGTAAACTGCTTATAAAGCACTGTAAAGCAATATATGTCTAAGTGCTGTTGCTATATGTTAGCTCAACTGAAGTACTTCTCAGTTGCTTCATAAACTATCCAAATTGTTTGCATAGCATCACAAGCAAAATGGGCCTGCATGTACATGCCTGCAAAGTCACCTGAGAAGAGCTTTTAAGGGAGTCATACAGAGATGCTGATGATTTAACATTCTAAAGAATGGATCTCTATTAATATGTATTGTGAAGTAACTTGGAAGTCACACGGCTCTAGAAACCTCATTGAACTTGACACATTTCCCTTTAAAACTTTCTAAATCCATGACAACTGACACATCTTTTGGCACTGAATTTCACAAGTTTGTATTCACATATATATTGATAAATATACAAGTCTGTAAATAGATACTGAGTAATGAGAAAGATCTTAGGATTGCAATGGGCAGTTTGATGAAGAACAGGGTACAGCAACAGTGTAAATTTTATGTTGGAGGCGACTGAAGAAGAACCAAAAGAGATGCTACCAATATCATATTTATGTATAAGCCTTCATGGTGATCATACTTGGATTATCTTATATTGGAAAAGCTGAACAAAATGTAAAGTTTGGCAATAAGAATGATTGAGGGGTGATTATGAAGTTTGGGGCTTTTAACTTGGAAAAATGGAAAGGCAAAAGGAGTACAGATTCATAGATGTATGCTTAATGTAGATAGTGAGGTTTTTTTTCTTATCGCTAACACTAGAATTTGGGATCATCCAGTGAAGTTGAAGGGAGACTTGTATATCGTTATCTTTTGTATAGTGTCATTGATATAATATATGATCTTGGGCCTGCCAGATTTTTGCACAAGAAGGCTATCATCGATTCATCCTAACATCCTCATGAATCAGTGATCCTAGGTTATGCAGTTATTCAAAAGTCTGCTTTGAGAAATCTTTGAGCAAGTACCCTTTAAAGCAGCAGGTCTGAGCAGCCACTGTGCTTTGATCCAGATGGCAAAACTCTTCTGTGCATGCTCAGGTTCCCATCACTTTCCAGTGAAGCAAAAGATGCAGGAAGACTCGTAGTAGAGGGATTCAATTATGCAAGTTGAGGCAGTGCATTGAACCTGATTGCTGGTGTTTTGAATTGAGATGCTATCTTAAAGCCTATTTGACATGCCCGCTGGTATCTGATATTGAATGTTATTTTGAAATAATTATATGAACACACTGAAATTATATCTCTGGTTTGATTATTTCAATAGTTAAGGACTTTATATTGTTTTGCAGAGATGCTGTTGAATTTTTATTAAGGAACCATTTAAAAGCTATTTAAACTTTGATAAATTTTATGGATTTTTGTATGTTTTAATCATGAAAATCAAATTAGAGGTACTAGCCTCTACATGTATCAAACAGAAGAAGCCATGGCCTCGAATCACCTGGCTGGGACAGGTAATTATAATTTTTAATATATTGTACATTAAAGGTACGTTCCTCCAACATTTAAGATTACTGGCATAACTTCAGGTCATTGTGAAAATTAAGTAATATAGCAATAGCAACAATCAATCTATACATCATTAGGAATTACAATAAAAGCTCTCTGAGCAGTTGAAAAAATGTATCATTGAAGTTTAAAATATCTACTTTGCTTTAGAAAAGAGCTGAAAATCCAAAAATTTGGATTTTTCTTAACACAAAGAATTCCTATCTAAACTTTTGTTTTATTAATTAAAGATGAAGTTCTTGAATTTTTCATTTCAATCTCAGAGTTGTATTACGCTGACTACTTTTTCTTAAAGCAAAAAAAAATATGTTCAAACCTGGCTTTGTATTATGGTGTCTTATAACTGAATCAGTGATAATTAATGTGAGATGGTTGAAATTGTTTTTTATATACTCCCCAATTTGTTTTTATTTGGTTTTTATTGAGTTTTTAATTGTAAACTATATTGAATCTCTGATTTTGGATACCTTATAAATCTAAATTATTACTGTTATTGTTGTTATTAAAATTCCATATCACATCTTTTTGCTCAGAAAAAAAATTATCTACTTGAACAGCAGAAAAGTCTTGTTTTCAACCAACATCTATCTTTGTGTAAGGATTAAAAAAAAGAGTTTCTGAATCAAGTATTATGTCATTTAATGTTTTACTTTTATTTCTTATAATGCTAGCAGAATGCTTGAATTAATCCAGACATTCATTAGCAAGAAAAATAATAATATGCAAATAAAAGACTGGCATTCTTTTAATAGGAAAAAGAGGCTGTTTTCCTATTGGATGACAGAAACATGCAGGAAATTAACCTGCTTTCTGGAAAAACAAAAAAGAAGATTCCCCAATTGCAGACTTTTCTGAAGAATGTTATTATATTATCAACCTCAAGAAATGGTAAGTCTTACACAGTTAATTCTTTCTGCCAGATTGTATGAACTTCTGTTTTTATAGAACGTAAAGAAGTTTCTAATAGCAAAAATTAGCACTACTTCAGTTGTTTCTGATGTAAATTGGTTACCCCTTTTTCTGATCATAAATACACTCATGATATAAAATTACTTATGTATTTGAAATATTAGTTGAATATACATTTAACTGGGAAGGAAAGAGTGAACTCATTGAAAAGAGTGAAGCTTATATTGTATATAAGTATATGTGCATCACACTCTGAAATGGCGCAATCTTTTTCACATAGGAGCTTGGTTGGCAGGAATGCTTAAAACAGGAGAGCTCTTTCTTTGGAACAAGGACCGAGACATTATAAAAACTGTTCCAGCCATTGAGGAATCTACAAAAGTGGCTATGGCAGTGCAAGGTATGATTGTTCAATATTTCTTTTTTTATTTTCTATTTTTTTTAAAAAAAAATACTTTAAAAAAATATATTAAGAACTGTAGTTTAAATTGTCATTTTTATTACAGTATTTTTCATAAATATCAAGACAACTACCTAATTGTTTGTTATATGCCAATGACACATTAATATCTATAAAGTATACTTACTGAGGCTATTATCACAAAGTGTGTTACTTATTAATGCAGTAAAAGCATCCATGATAAAACACATATACTGGTTTTAATTTTTTATTCTATTACCTGATTTCATATAAGAAACTACTTGTTTGTGATAGCATATGTTTTGTTGTCATAAATTAACTAAATATTTTGAGTAGATTTAGAAGAACAGGATAATTCTAACACAGCATTATTTTCTAGAACATTCCTTGAGGTTATGCCTCTGTGTTTCCGGCAAAGGAAATAAAATACTTCTTGCTACTCCAGAAGTCTGTGTCTTATTGTGGGAAAGCATAGAATCAGACGCAACACCTTCCCAAATTTCTGCAAAGGGGCAATGGTCCCAAATTATTCCTGAAGCTTCAATTGTGTTACCAGCCAAAGAAGAGAAGGAAACTGTAGTTAGTGCTGATTTTATTGAAAATGAGGTAAATATAAATATGATCTCATCTTATTCTTTGACAGTCAAGTATTTTAAATATATATGGTGACTTCTTATAACAGCCATGTAATTTTGGTTATTGTTGAAGACTATCAATATGTTTATCTTAAGTAAATATTTGTTTTAATATTGAATCTGTGTCTGTTGCCTGTATTTCTCATATTGTGACTATGAATTATAATGCTTATGCAGCCAGACAGGCCCACCTCGGATAAACCGAGAATTTTAGGTGCCAAAATACACCCCCCAAAACCCAGGTTTTGCTTAGTTCAGCAATGAACTTATCAGCAAATATATACTGTAATACTTGTTAAAATATCTGTCTGTTCCACATATATAAGCCTATTCACAGATAAGCTAAACATTGAATTTTTAATCAAAATACTATGAAAAAGATGGGTTGACTTATCCACAAGTGGCACATTTTTCATGGCATGTCAATTTTAAAAAATGAGGGCTTGTACAAAGTACAAATAGTCTGGTTAATGACTAGCTTAGTAACTGAAGTTACAAAAATGCTTACAACCTGGATTGAAAATTCCAGTGATAGTCCCCATTGCCACATGATCATATTTTGGGTGCTTAACAAGCAGCTCACATTCAGAGCTGTTTGTAGCATTCCATGGACATGTGACCTTGATTTACTTTTTTTTGCCAGAAAACATCTTTTACTTCCTTTTTTTTAGCAAAAAAAATCCCGTTGCAAACAGTAGGTTCACTTAACAACCACTTTGTTTACTTAAAACCTGCCTCACACATACACTTAACCATCACTGGAAAAAAAAGTGTTGTAAAATCAAGTTGATAATGTAATGCTAAGCTTGGCACTACTTACAACTATAATTTTAGCCTAAATTACAGTAATAAATTGAAGACTACCTGTATGTATGGTAAGAATTTGTTCTGACATGATTAGAACGTCTTCCATCTTGGCAACAGTTTTTAGAGATCCTGCTTGGCACATATTTAATGCCCAACATCTTGGAGTTTCCTATTTGTACTGGCATGTTTGCATGCAATGGCAATTTATTGCATTTCCTGCTGTTTTTTGTGCATGTTTTTTTCACAATAGAGCTTAGGATCCTAATCATATTGCATGTGCAAAATAATTCATTATAACTGCAGTTTAAATTTCTAAGGATTAATATGGGAATGATTAAATCTTCTATAACATTGCTGTTATAGAAGCAATGTTAATTGTTGACCACTTGGTAAAATATGAATAATTATATATAAATTTAAATAATTGATAATACATACTTCAAGTGAGTTATTCAAAAATGTTGATTCATTGACAGATATTGGGAGATTGTTGCTTGGGTTCTTTTGCATTTTATTCTGGGGACCAACTGGTCCTGATATTTTTGAAGATCAAATGGCAGGAGAACAATGCAAGGTAAATATTCTGATTTTTAAAAGGATATGTTTATATCAGATATTTAGTAAAATGCATATTGGTTTATGAATGAAAATGTTGCTGTTTATATATGTGCATGTACAGCAGGGACTGAGTGATAAATACATAATTTTGAATGAAAAAATAGATAGACAGACACAAAATATTATATTTTTCCCCTTGGCATATGAATGTATATTTTTGGAATATGTACAATCTGGGTTTCCTTCCCAAAAAGTTGGTAACAACTGCCACAAAACTAGGATGGATATTACATTAAACCATAATATTTAGAAGATGAGATAGAAGGAACTTAAGTGAAGCCTTGGCCTAACATGGCATCTCTTTCACTATTTTTCAATTGCACAGCTCACTAACGTAACTTTTAAATTCAAAGAATCTAGGTTTAATTTTCCATACACTGCTAATAAAAATGGGAGGAGGGTGAAGTAGTCTGGTTTAATTCTTTGAAGTTCGCGTTGAAAAACAACATCCTCTGCATGCTTAGCAAGAAGGAAAACTTGACTTTATATAGCAATAAAATTATTTCCCCTTTTTCCACTTTTTTCTTCATCCAATGTAGCTCTGTTCCATGTCAAATCCATTGGGCACAAGAAACATGCTCTTTGCGTAATTTGTCTCCGTCTTGTGAATCAGTGAAGTCAAGAGGTGCTTTGCTTACTGCATTCTCTCATGATGGACTTGTGCTAGCAGTTGCTCTCAATCAAAAGGATCTACAGGTACCAATGTGAAAAGCATGCTAAGAAAGTGACTTTATTAATATTGTGCTCTTTATTAAATTTGGCTTTGTAAATTAGTTTGAATCAGTAGTGAAATTCATTTTTTTTACTACCGGTTCTGTGGGCGTGGCTTGGTGGGTTAGGGTTAGGGTTAGGGTTAGGGTTAGGAAGGATATTGCAAAATCTCCATTCCCACTCCACTCTGGGGCCAGCCAGAGGTGGCATTTGCTGGTTCTCCGAACT